GTAGGGGTGGGGCCAGGTGGGCCCTGCTGTAGTAGGAGCCCGCCAGACTTCCCCTGGGTCCTACTACCCTGGGTTCCTGTCATTTTTGACAGGAACCAGGGGCAGATGAATATTAATTTTCTAAATTTTTTAGGAAAAAAATCCAGCCCACGGGCTGTATTCTGCTCATGTTTTAAGTGTCCTTAGTATGTTCCAAGTGTACAGATCAGCCAACAAAGTTTAGCAGTCCCATGTTAAGAGAAAGGTATTAAGTTGAAAAGGCTACAGTAATCAGAGAACTTAAAAAATATATCAACATTTGAACACAATTTTAAAATAATTATATTTCTGGACCATTATAAAGAAGGGCCACATCCATACTGTGAGAACAAAAACTCCTACCAATCAAAGTCTGGTTAATTTTACAATGTAAGAAAATAAAACAGTTAAGAGAAACAAGTTGTCCTTAATATAGTTAGGTTTAACATACAGCTGTGGAGAACTCCATGAGCTCCAGAGCCGAAACCCTATACTCTCCCTTAGATTTGCTATATTTTATTTTTAGAAGTAATCACTTCCCTCCAGTAAATGGTTAGTACACCAGCAGTCCTGCCCAAGCAAAAATTGAAAGGAGCCCTATTTTGAATCAAATAGATATTAACACACACAACAGCGCTTAAGGAAGACTGCTGCAAGCAGGTTCATGTAGTCTGTCATATTCTTTAACATCTGTTTTTTCCAGTACTGACATTTCTTTACTCAATGTAATATTAATTACATGAAGTAACTCCCAAGGCACATTCAGAATGCCAACTCAAAAACAAGCCTCCTCTTCCCCATAAAAATCCACATATGTAATTTTACATTTTTGCACAAGAGAACTCTTTCATTTAAAAAAAAGCCTCTTATTAATTCCACACTTTATTTTGAATTCTCCTTAATTTTAGATTTTCCAAACAAAAGTAGTAGGGAGACTGTCAGAGTACTATAGCAACACAGTCTGTGAATCAACTGATGTAAACACTGTTGGGATAGCACTGATTGAGTAGTAAGGTGATTGGAAGCAAATGGTTCAGACAGAAGTGACAGTTTTCACCCAATCTGGACCCTAAAAGAGCTCTACAGCTGTAACCAAACAAAAGTGCATAGTGGCAAAGCACTTTAAGGGGCCTGATCCCATAAAAACAATCCTGCATAAGGGTTCAGATGAAAACGTTTCAAAACATGGTGTCTTCAGTAACTTCTGTCTGTGCTGCCTCCCAGTCTGTTGCTGCTTTCAGAATGGAGTTCGGTCTGGGTTGTTTTCAGCAAATGCTGGAGGGTGGGGCGGGTAGATTGGAGCTTCCCCAAGGTCGGCAAGCTCCAATCCACCCATCCCACCCTCCAGCAGTGGCTAGGGAGCCCCTAGAACAAGCTCCTTCTGCTACAGAAACTTTCCTCCTCTGAAAACAGCATGGGCTGGCAGGGAGAACAGGACCATTATGGGGAAACCAGCTGCAGGATTCAAGCCAGCAGCTAGATTCCCCCCACCCCTGGAACCAACAGCAAACTTCTGTTTGGTCCAGGGGATCATTGCATCTCAGAACACTTCCTGCAAAGCCTTTTGAGTTACAGTGGGGAGCTGCATTTCTGTCTGTGCCAAAAGTGAGACAGGACAATCAGAAGAAACTGCCAGTAGAGTTGCCATGAAGAGAGTAGAAGAGCAGAAGTAGGAGCAGGACAACCATACAAGAGGACATGACCTTGAGGGAGAAATAAGGGAGACAAAGAGACTGAAAGAAGAGAAAGCTAAAAGAACTTAGATCTTTCTTCTTTCAAATGCCTCCATTCTTCCTCACAACCTAAATACCCTAGTCTTCTATGACTAGCTTACATTTTACCTGGAATGCTTTATTACAGGGGCGGGCAATTATTTTGGGCAGAGGGCTACTTACTGAGTTTTGGCAAGCCATCGAGGGCCGCATGATAGATAGCCAAAGGCAGATAAATATTAATTTTCTAAATTTTTTAGGGGCCCCGCGGGCCAGATAGAATTGCCTGGTGGGCTGCATCCAGCCCCTGGGCTGCATTTTGCCCACCCCTGCTTTATTCCTAGGACAGAACTGCACTCTTCCTTCTTTCATTTTAAAATATATTTAAATTACATATACTGTTGATTATTTGGGAGTCTTCTACAATCACACATTTCCATGATTTTAAAAATGTCCTTCTTCAGCTCTACACTGAAGAAACTAGACGTGGCAAGCAATTACACAGCTCCAAACAGTAAGAGAAAATTATTGCAGGGTTATTAAATGAGGTTCACCCTCTTCCAGAGGTTTAGAATAGGATATTTTCAAAGCCTTTAGCTTTGAAAGAGTTTGAGGTTCAACCTCAGCTTCTCCACCATAGTGTACTGTTACCCTATGTCAAAATTATAATTATGATTATGATTTGTATTCCACTAGCAGTTGGAAACACTAAATACAGTGGATTTAATTTTCAGAAGTACTGAGCACCCAGAGCTCCAGTTTTTTTCAAACATACTTTTTATATTTCTCTGAAAAGATATAATAGTTTCTATTTATTTTTTAGTAAGTAGAGAGCCTTATAGCTGCTGTCAATGTTAGGCAAGTTGCAGAAGGTTAAAATGTATGTTGAAACTCTAGCCAGTCTAAGAAGTCAGTATTTGGTCCAATATCACACCACATGGTCCCTTTTACAAGTGCACAATTGATTTATTTTTGGAAGACAGTAAATTCCAGGAAGAAGAGTCAAAATACAGGATACTAAAGATAAAATGGAGTAAGTGGCAGAAAAAATGGACACTGCTTTAAAGGAAAGAGCTAGATAAGTGACAGATAGCACAGAAGGGAGCCCAGAAAGGAGAGGTAGAGGGAATTCATAAAAGACATACCAAACTTTAACTCGGCCAGTTTGCTAGAATATTATAACCCTTTCCTCCCTCTGCCTTCATTCAGGGGCAATGATCTGTCTTCGTCTACATCCATGAAGTATATGCCATGCTTTTGAGCTCTTAATAATGCTAGTAAGAATAATTGTTTTTTCCAGGCTTAAGGCCTAGAATCAGTTCATTACAACTGTATTCATACTATTCTAGATCATTTAAGCTCAGGTTTGGATGTAACAAATTGAGAAAGTAGCAAGGGGGCGCACAGCAAACCTACAAAAGCTTAAAACTTCTCCCAGACATATTTTCCTATATGCAGAATAGGAGTACTACCTTTAAATACCTCAGACATGGACTCTTCAGAGACATAGATCGTAGAGCTTATGTGACCCTTGATTTATTTTCTGTGCAAAATTATTATCTATTATTATTATTATTTGCTGACCTGTGTCAAAATTGAGATTTATGGTAAGGCTTTTTTGTCTGTTTGACAAAAGCTAAGTACCTGTTTTGTCAGTGACTGCCACGGAAGCAGAAAAAGGAAGGAGGAGGAAGATTGCCATCCAAAGCCAAATTATGCCGAATCCAACGTGCTTCATCTCCCCGTGGACACATGTGAACAAACAGCCACAAATCTGAAACAGAAAGTGAGTGCTTTGGAAACAATTTCTTTTATTCTCCCTTCTCTGGTCCCCCACCAAGAAACCGCAAGAATATCTTAATTGTAAAGAACAGAGAAAGTCGCTGGCTATATACAATGCGTATCATTTTTTTGTGTTAAAGAGGCCCTGAAAAAAGGTCATAGGCTCATTTAAACTTAGGATTGGGTGATAAATATATTCCTATGGTATTCATTTTGCTTTGTGAGTAATATATTTTCAGCCATGCTAACTCATGAACGTTAGCTACAAAGCCACTGAATTAGCATTTTATTAGCAATGACTACTCTCCCCCCCAAGACTTCTGCTCTTAAATACTTTTGTTGAACTGGTTGGTGCTGCAGCGCTGCAGACTGAATGGCTGCTGAGGAATGAGGGAAACTGCTCATTCCTTTGATTAAACTGAAAATGAAGTGAAATGTGACATGTTGCATCTTCGTAACAGATGCAAGTCTCTGGAGCAGCCTGGTCTGAATTATCTTCTAAAAAGATAATTATATTTGCCCAGCACAATAGCTTTGCCCTCTAACCACCACACTAGGTTTCCTCCGAGGCAGCGACACCGAAGAGGAAGGTATGGATTCACTGAAGGGCAGCAATAAAACAACATTTCCCCTCCATGCTGCAGTCCTGCAAGGTGAGGCGGGAAGGAAGAAACAAGACTGCACCTGGTAGCTCGGCTTGGGACTTGACCTCTGCGTCCTTCTTTCCCTGATGCATTATGGGGGGGAGGGGGGGGATGCATCTGGCTCTACAAATCTGAAACAAAGTTTGCTTTGAAGAAGTGGAAAGTATCGCACGGGAGAGGTAAGTGCTGCGACGTCTGTGACTCAGGGGCGTGAGGGCCATGAGGGCGCGAGTCCCTGCACCTGCCTTTCGAGGAGCCTGTAGAGCCCGGGGCAAGGCGGAGGGCGTTTGCCGGGCGGCTCGGCCATCCCGTGCCGGCTGCCCTCGGCTGCGCCGCGCGCCCGGGGG